TAATAATCTTACTTGTTAACAAAGTAAAAATTAAATGAAAATAAAATAATTGTATGGAAAAAAATAAAAAAATACATATGAATTTTAGTTTTTTAAAAATTAAATGAAAAATAAAAAATAAAAAAGAAATTAACTCGAGTATAACTAACTCATCATATAAATAAAATATTAAAAATATATTACCACGTTAAAAAAATACATCATTTCATTTCAACCACTTATGATAAACAAGAAATCCAAACCAAAATGATTATATATATATATATATATATATATATATAAAAACTTTTGAGTCAAAATATTATATTTTTAAGAGAGAGAATATAAAGAATGTTAGTCCATCTAAAGCTATCATATGCCGAATTATTCTAATGGCTCTAATTTTCAACCACTAATGAAAAACAAAATACTAAAAAGTAATTTTTTATATTTTTTAAATCAATTTATATATTAATTAAAATAAAGTATACAATATTAAGATTATTCAAAATGTTATGCATAAACTAATATGAGCTTATCTTCTAATGTATAATGAATGATTTTATTGGTGTGGGTTTTTTTTTATATATAATTTACTTTAAATGTACCTTATATCTACCTCAGTTAATTTTTTAAAATTCTAAATTTTACAACCATGTAATGTATTGATGGGGCAGGCAGTGGGGTGACTGTTTCTGGAGGGACGGGTGATTGTAAAGTTGATAGTGAGGGGTCGGCAAGCCATGGCCCATAAGCAGATAGACAAAGGACGAGGAGAGAGAGAGAAAGTTTTGTGTAAGACGATGGGACAGGGAGACTTTTGAATATTAACCGAAACCTACTTCTTTATTGAATATTTTTTTTTTTTGTGGAAAAAACCAAAATGATATATTTATTATTACACACACACATACATATATATATATATATACACACACACACACACATGAAACGTTACCAAAATTAATAGTTTTATAGATAAAACCTTTTTTACTAATGAATTTATAAATAAATATTGTTTGTCGGAAAAAAAAACTATTGATTTTACGTATAAAAAAATCTTCATAAAAAAATCACATGTGTTAATATCTTGAATGAGTTATTTTGTTAGTGATTGACAATAGTATTTATTATAATTTGATTTTAATCCTTTATAAAATACCAATAGAATTATTTTCATTGGTAATGTAACAGTATTGTAGTGACATATAAAGTAAATTGTTCTCCTCGCATCTGGAATATACCAAGTTATGGACGGATTATGTTCATTGATATATCTGTTTGTAAGAATTAAAAATAACTTTTTTTAAAAAAAATTGAACAAAAAAATAATAATTAAAAATATTTATATAAAATTAAAATATGTAAATATAATATCCCATATCAGCAAGTGAGGACTTAGAAGAAGATCTTATATGAGTATACTCACCTTGACCAGTAAGACGCAAATTGGAGCCACGCGTGCTTTGACGAAATATGTAAATATAATAATCTTATATGAGTATACTCACCTTGACCAATAAAACGCATATTGGAGCCACACGTGGCTTTCAAGAACAAATTCATGAGGCCCGTAGGCCAAAACGAACAATATCTTATTAGTGGGGTAGGGTGTTACATTAAAAATAAACTTGAATAATACAAAATCCAAATATCCATTACAAATTTATATGTTCAAATAAAAATTAAACTAGAACAATAACAGTGCTGGAAGAGGAGAGGATGAGGCTAGTCATTATTGAGACCATATAGCCAAAAAAAGGTTGCACACGTATCACTCATCTATGATCTCATGTCCATGATTATTTGGCAAAGTTGTTTATATTCCGTTGAGAGTTGCTTACATTGTTCCTAGTATTTTTTTAAATAAATTTAAAATTGTTTAGAGTTTATTATTTGAATATTTGATTTTTATTTTATTTTGAATAATCTTTTAAAAATTAGGTTACCAAAAATTATAAATTATTTAATTATCCAGCCTCCAATAATAATCTATACAAACGACCCGTGAAAAATCTCATAAATCCTTATTTAGAAAAAAGTAATTGCTATGCCTACAGTGCTAACTATAATATTGTGTTTTTGTAGTTTTTATGTCTAACAGATAATTATCCCTTTTTTACTTACAAAATAACAGGCTTAGCTTTATATTTATAGGGAATTATAAAAACCTTCTAAATGACAAAATATATATTTTTTCTTTAAATAATATCCATATATTATTTAAGGATAATTTTATAAATTTAACCAATCAAGTCTTTACTTGATTTTTCTAGGTCTAGAAATATAATCCTTATATTAATTATATTCAAGTCCTTAATTTCTAAAATATAGTTCAATCAAGTCATATTTAATTAAATTATCCTAGTTTAATTTATAACTAATCATTCTTAACGTGTATGACTTATCAGGTTTCTAATATGTTGGCCCAAATATAAATTATAATTTTAATTAAATAAATTAAATAATTTAATTTATTATCAATTTAATAATTAATTTATTTATATTTGAAGATCAGGTGCATCGTCTAGCAACATGTCATGATCCCCCCTAAATATTAGAAAAATCATTAGTGATTTGACTTAGCATTTCAGTGCCTGTTTTTTCAATGTAATTAATATCCTTTCATCAATAATATTTTGATTTAACATTAAAACATAGAGTATATATACCATATTAAATAATGTTTATTTTTTATATTGTCGCGGGGTGTGAGCCAGCGCGACGTTGTCTGGCGATAGCGGAGGCTCTTTGTCGTGTCTCCAGTGTGAGATGTTATGTATTGGAAAGAGTTTTGGATTTAATCATAAAATTATAATTAATGTTTAAGAGTCGCCACCTAGTATTATGGTCACTAGGAACCTATGGTTTACGAGAGTCTGAGTAAAGGACTGGTTGTGCAAGGGGAAAACACATCACCCCTAGTGCACCCTACCAAAGGTAAGCTGCATTGTTATTTAATGTTTTTTTTCTGAGTTGGGTATCTGTTGGTCTTTTTTAAGGCTCAAGGTAGATTTATCTTCGTGAGAGAGTCTCTACCTTATTGGGTAAAATCCTAACCATTCTAAAGTCTGAATTTTAGCATTGCATTTATTTACATCTTGTATCTTTAATACCTGAAGGTGTACTTTATCGTGTAATTTTACACCCCACAACTATTAAAGTCTACATTTGAATTCTAAAAAAAAAAGGATTGTAAAAAGATTTTTGACATGTTAACCAAATTCTAATGGATAATCATAAACTAATTATGATATCCATTTTTGGATTTTTTTAATATGAAAAAAATGTAATTTTTATTTTTTTATGAAAAATATGCTTGGAAAAATTTCAGGATTTGGCTGTATGTAACAAAATATTTAAAAAAAAAATGAAAATTGATTTAAAAATTCTTTGAGATTTGTTTTGAAAATGTTTTGAAATTTTTTATAATTTCATAGGAAACCGGGTATTTTAATACTGAATTTATATTTTACAATGTAAATACACAACCCGATATTATGCAAAATTGATAGAAAAATGTGCAAGAAAATCATAATTTTTTGAAATGATTTTTTTTGAAAATTTTTAGATTAAAAAAAAAAGCATAGTCCACTACATGAACAGTGGACGTGAATTATAATTCACGTCCACTGTTCACTTATGAATAGTGAAACATGAATTATAATCCGCGTTCCATTGTTCAAAACAATAGAACTCTCATGGGGAAGACGAAGAACCAACGGAAGGGTAGCAGACCACCTGGCGTGGAGGTGATGGCTGGTTGGCAGGGAGGATGACCTGAAGCTGGCAGTGGAGTTGGCTGGAGCGGCTGCAGTTAGAAGAGGAAGAAAGAAGAAGAAAAAAACACGCGGGACGGGCTGCAAAAAAGAGAGAGAAACCGACGGTGGCTCTTGGTGGTCGGCTGGTGGTTGCGTTGGCTTTCTATGGTGGAGCTGATGGTGGAAAGACTGTGATAGATGGTGGTGGTGGCTAAAGGCCACGGTGGAAAGAGAAAGATAGAAGAAAATTTGCAGAAACTGACAGAAAAACTGGTTTTTTGGCTAACTTTAACAGAATTAATATTTTATTTGATTTAAATAAAAACTTAAATCACATTAAATTATTCATTAAGTCTTAACACATAGATTATTTCATTTGCACCGAACCATTTCGATCCTTTTGTATTTGTTTTCTCTAAATGATAAAGAAGAGGCATCAGACAATTATCACGTCCACATATTTTTCACGTTGATTGTCTAACAGATTTTTTAGATTTATTTAAATAATTATAAATATATCAAAAGAAACAAACCATTGAAGAGAAAGTATGTATTAATAAATTTTTAAATTAAAATTTTTATGTCGTTATTCTACAAAATTTAACTGTTTGTGTTTCATGTTTTTATTATTATTATTATTATTATGATCATCCCCGCATCACTTACTTTCAAATGATGGTGTGACAGTTGAAGCCAGTCAATAATAATCTACCGGTGGAGGAAGCAAATATCACTTGCTTTTGTGGTGGTCAAGAGAGAGATGTATATCCCCTCGCACGCCGCTACACGTGCAAGAAGTTGGCATTAGTCGGTAACCTAAGGTTACAGAGTTATTATTTAGAAATTCTTAGATTGAGTTTTATAAATTGTAAGGTTATTAAAGATTTATATAATTATTAATTTTAAAATCTATAAAATTAATTAAGATATATATATATATATATATATATATATTGACTTGAACACTTATATTAAAAATAAAATAAAATAAAAAATTGGCATTAGTTGCTGTGATAGATTTTAATGCTATAAAACAAAAGGAAGAAAAGAACAGAAAGGTAAGGTCATTCCGGAAGGCCTCAACTTTAATTAACTTCATCAGAACTAATGTTGGTTAGCAAATACATCACTATAACATGACCAAATCAAACAAACTACATATATGATAAAGACTATAACTTAATTTGAGGAATGAAATTTAGCCACAATAGGAATTGATGATCATTGATGGAATCAACATGGTAGAAAGGCCTAAGCTCTTCAAGGTTTGCTTCCTAACCATTGATCAATCAAGTTTCCAAAAGCAACATACGAAGATCCACCCTCCATCACAGCTTTCTTCGCCATTTCACTGGTTTCTTTGGCTTTGTTTCTTTGTTGACCACCGTGTTCCATCATGGTTTTCACAGCTTTTGTTATCACCTCCGCCTTGACAAAATCTGTAGGACAATCTCTCCTAAAATCCAACGTCAATTCCACTGCTAATCCCAAGTCTTTCACTAGCTGAAATGCATTCAGGTGTTGCTCAGCATATAATGGCCAAGTTATAATAGGCACGGCATACCACAAGGCCTCCAAAGTTGAGTTCCATCCACAGTGTGATACGAAAGCGCCTACTGCTTTATGTGCCAAGATTTCTACACATCAATAAAGGCAGTGCAAAACATATCAACAACAACACTAGCAATTGGTGCAGGGTTGTGGGCCATGACTAGGTTAACAATAGTATCTTTCACAAGGGTTTTGTGATCACTGATGTAAGAAGTAAAAGCACTTGCAGGGCTTACAGCTAAAGCTTCTGGAGGAGGTGCAGGTATGGTCTCAGGAATTTCGATGAACCTGATTTCTGTATGAATAGAAGCAAGCGATTCGGTGTTCTTGCTTATGCCACCGTAAATTGGATTGTGGATGACAAGCATGGTTATCAAGAAACTGTCGTTTCTCTCAAGAACCATCTTTGCTAACTGAACAGCTGATACAAGATGGCCAAATCCAGGTGCAGGGACAAAGACTAGCTGTGTTTTCTTCATTTTGGAGTTTCTGAATGTTCAACACGGTGATCCTCGTTTGCCTTATAAGGGCTCAGGGTCAATGCCACAATCCAATTTTTTAATCTAAATATAAAAAGATTATATATAAACTAAATTAAACTAATTTTTATAAATTTTACCAAGTAATTCTACCATCAATTCCTAAAACCTAACAATCATTCAAACAAAATTTAAGAATTGATGGTAGAATTACTTGGTAAAAATTCATGAAAATAAGCAAACTTTCTTGACAATCTTATATACTCATCCTTCTTATTAAATGACATTTAAATGTCTAAAGTAAGGAATACCTACATCTAGCCAAAACAACATTCAGGGTTCTTCTACAATGAAGGTTGGTATGTGAAATGAGAGGGTTAGATGGAGATGGAAAGGTTAGGTAGGGAGATGAAATGGTTTGATTGGGACAAGAAGAAGAAGGTTTGGTGAGGCCATTTTGAATATCAATGTACAATTTCATACACCATCACTGTCCAATGCTTTAATGCACAACATCATTCATATCCTAAGGTAAGAGCAATAAGGGAAACAACAAGCCATGTTCATCATTTTTTATCATAATGTTTTTACTCTTTTTTTTCTTTTTTTTATCATCATCATCATGTTTAATGTTCATGATGTGAACAATTTACACCATTCAACACCAATGCATCACCTTTATAAGAAGCCCGATTTCCATGAATGCAAAATCCAAGCCCATTTTAGGCCCAATATAAGAAATCCAAACTATGTTTAGGCCCAACATACACACCATTGCATGTCAACTGAGCTCTTACCAATTTTTAATTGCCGAGTGTCTCTTCGCCATCACCAGCTCGTCTCTGTTCATATTTTCATCTCGTAGCAACACTGTGCTGAAACTATCTTGTGAATTTGTTGTCTTTGAACGTCATTCAACGCAAAAAAGCTCCAAAATCTACCATCAAGACAAGTCATTAACAACGCCAAAATTAGCGTGTCCACAAATTTGGTCTCTCACACACAGAGGCTATATATAAAAACTAGATTGGTGTTCCGTAATACGTAGCGTAGCGGATAATCTTATTTTTTTTATTGCATAAAAGATACTAAAATGATATATGTATTTATTTTTTAAAAAATAATATTCAGGTCATTATCTTAAATAAATTTAATAAAATTGGTTAATTTAATAATATAATTAGAAAATAAAATAAAATATTAATATAAAATAAAATGAAAAAAAATAATAATAATTCAATATAAAAAATGAACATTTATCAATATTATAGAAATATATCTTTACAATATTATTAAAATGTTTTAATGATGTTACTTGTTAACAGAATAAAAATAAAAATAAAAATAAATAATTACATTAAAAGAAAAATCAAAAAATAAATGTGTGTATTTTTTAAAAAAAATATATCATATTATTTTTTAAAATATATTCAATAAATAAGTAGGCTGCGGTTAATATTCAAAAGTCTCATGTTAAATTATTATCCCTGTCCCACCATATTACACAAATTATGCACACCTTTTTATCTTTCTCCTCGTCCTTTATCTTTTTGGTCATTGCCGTGGCTTGTCGATCCCTCACGGCCCAATTTACAGGCACCCGTCACTGTAAAAACAGTCATCTTAACTCTAAGAATGTCATTTAACTAGCTAATTCTGAATTTAATTTGTGAAAATCAATTTTAAATTTAATTTTTAAAAATCACTAGTTCAGGATCACATCAATAAAATCATCCATAAATACATTAAAAATTAAGCTTATATTAGTTTATGCATGAAGTGAGACTATCATTTGGAATTATCTCAATATTGTATAATTTATTTTAATTAATGCATAAAGTGAATTAAAAGTATAAAAAATTACTTTTTAGAATTTGTTTTTCATTAGTAGTTGAAAACAAGAGCCATCAGAATAGTTGGGCATGTAATAGCTTAGATGGACTCGCCTTGTTAGGCGCTGCCTTTTGTATTCTCTCTCTTAAAAATGTGATATTTTGACTTGAAAGTTTATGTATCGATACTATTTTTTTTAATATAAAACTCGTAATAAAATTATAAACCTGAGCATAAAATTAATATTATTATCAAAAAAAAAAATAAATAATTGAAAATGTCGGTGAGGAATTTTTCATCGGTAAAGTAATTTTAGACGATAATCATAATATATAGTAATAGAATTTTTGTGTCAATAATTTTAATATAAATAGCAATATAATATTTTTCATAACTACCAATGAAAAATAGAATAGAATAGAATAAAATTAAAATTTAATAAAAAAAACTTCATCCACAATTCAACACTTCAGAAATTCCTACGAAATTGCCAATTAATAAATTTAAACAACAGAATATCATCATGTATTTATTGTCTTTGGATTCTTTCTGGCCATGCAACTATCTAGCTATTAAAGGCAATCACAATCAATCGTTGTTGTTTTTGTTACTTCTTCTTCTTCTTCTTTTAATAGTAATGTATTATTAAGTCAATTTCGATACATTAAAAACTATGTCCTTCCTCAATTTAAAACCATAACACCTACCATGCAAGAATTCGCACGAGTCAATATATTAAGCTGTCATCACACACACTAATAGGATATTGTTACTAGAATTTTGTTAGATGAATTTAAAATTATTTAGAGTTTATTATTTAAATATTTGATTTTTTATTTTATTTTGAATAATTTTTAAAAAATTAGATTTTCATAAATTATAAATCATCCAATTATTCAGTTTTCAACAATAATTCATATAAACAACTTGTGAGAAATCTTATAAATTCTTATTTAAAAAAAATAGTTACTCATAGATTTTATGTTTGACAAACAATCATCCTTTATTACTTATAAAATAATAGGCTTAGGTTTATATTTATAGGGAACCCTAAAGACCATATAAATAATAAAATATATATTTTCTCTTTAAATAATATCCATATATTATTTAAGAATAATTTTATAAATTTAATCAATCAAGTCTTTACTTTATTGTTTTAGGTCTAGAAATATAATCCTTATATTAATTATATTCTATTCCTTGTTTCTAAAATATAGTTTAATTAAATCATACTTAATTAAATCATTCTAATTTAATTTATAACTAATCATTCTTAACGTGCGTGACTTATCAGGTTTCTAATATGTTGGTCCAAATATAAATTATAATTCTAATTAAATAACTTAAATAGTTTAATTTATTATCAATTCAATAATTAACTAATTAATTTATATTTGAAGATCAAGTGTATCGTCTAGTAACGGGTCCTGATTCCTTTAAATATTAGAAAAGCCATTAGTGATTTGATTTAACCTTTCAGTACCCGATTTTTCAGTGTAATGAATATCATTTCATCAATAATATTTTGATTTAACATTAAAACATGAAGTATATAGGCGATGTTAAATCATGTTTATTTTCTATATAATAGTCATTGATCGTTTGAATATTATTTTTAAATTTCATTTCATCTTGACTAAGAATTTCTCAATCAATAATATTTGAAAATAAATAAAATATTCTTTCTAATTCACTTAAAGTGATAAATCCTTTCTTGATCAATTAAGTACATTTATATAGTTCATATTATACCCAATATCTATCTTTTTGTTACCTTAATTAAAATAAAAATATAACATAATCAAAGCATAACATTCTCTATATAAGATAATTTAGTGATCTCAAATTTAATGACCACTTATAGTACCATCACGTGAATCTTTTCATAGATATATATAATTTTTTCATATGAAATTCTCATGTAAATCAGTTCAATGTACATGTTTTATGACAAATAATTATATATTAATTTTAGGTATCATTTATATCTCAACTTATGAAAATAACTATTTTCTTTTATAAAAGAAAAAACATTATATATATATATATATATGTCTTTACAATTTTAATGAATTTCTAGTATTTAAGAGAGCATCAACTATGATTATTTTAAAAATAATATTTTGATGCAATAGAAATCTCATAATTTCAACAACCTTATAATTTTATTTATAAAGCATTTTTGTTCTATAAACTTTATCTTTACTCTTGATTTATTAATCCAATATTATATAAATATTTAAAAAAAATAAGTTTTTATTAATAATAAATAAATATTTATATAATATATAATAATATCACATATAAACAACTAATTAACTACAAATATATATTAAACTAACATAGATATCACGAACTATTATGTGTTTGGATTATAATTTTTTTATCAATCACTTATCACTAAAATACTAAAACTTGACTACCACGACTTGATTATCAAATCAATTTAAAAAATAACTAAAATAAATATTTTAACCTTGTAAATTTTATTATTAAAAAATAATATTGTAATTTAAAACAAATTAAAAAATTAGAGTTTTGAATTTGAAAATTTCAAATCTTAAAACATTGGTGATGAACGAATTCACGATTGATGGTGGCTTTTTTGAAAAGCAACAGAAAGATTTCTAGTTCAAATACTACAGCAGGTGACAATTAAACCATATCAATAGTTCAGGGATATTTATACCTTATAGCCTGAATTAAAGGTATATATACCTGCTTTCAAATATAAGAAAATCAAGGTGTCAGCTTCCAGAGATCATCTAGTCCAGCAAACGGGGAAGCCGTAGCATGGAATGGAGTGACCGGTGATCGAGATTGCGAGAAATACCCTCGGCAGGGAAGGCACTAAATGCATGGAAGCCACCAGCTAGCAAGGGAAAAGACTAGCCAAGTTTTTGTCACGTCGGAGACAGTAAAGATGCCCGCTTGATTTGATCGATAGCCACTTCATGTCTAAAGGTGTCCAGACTTGAGCCCCTAGTTTTTGACCTCTCTTATGATTTCTTTCACTCTTTTTCGTCAATAAATATAAATATATCATTCCTTTTCTGGGTTGAATAGAATTTTTAATTTAGTTTATATACAATTTTTTTTATATTTAGATTAAAAATATAATTTTAAAATAAAGTGATTAATTAAACTAGCCTTTTCCTCTCTCG